GGGGGTCAATTTTTGAACAAAATTTTGCGTACGTACTTTGTGCACGCCGCCTTAGTTATTGTTTGCATAGATTTTTGTTTTAATATTGTTGGTAATTAATTTTGATTTAAACTTAACTTTTAATTATAAGTAACCAATAATTTGTATATCATAACGATTAGCGACTGTATTTACTATTTTATATTGATATAATTGTTTAAATAGAAGGTCCCTTTTTAGATAAATAATTCACATTAAAATACATGCTATTTGTGTGTTATATTAAAGGCCTATAAATGTTTTACATTGTAATACAAATAACGTAAAGGGGTCTGTATTACAAATAAATATAATACTATCAATCACTGTATAGGGGTTTACATTGAATAGTATATTGAGCACATTATTTATGGATATATAATGAGTGCCTTTTAATTGAACGCTAAATTCAAAACAATTAAAAACAAATCAAACATTCATTTAGCGATTAAAATATGAATTTCGGGATAAAATATACTTAGTTTAGTTGTAAACAAACCGTCCAAAAGTGGGAATCCATTTGTCGGAGGCGTCGGGTGTCGTATCGGCCAGTGATGAGAGGTTTGCATTCAATTTGTACTCAATTTTGGCATCAATTGTGTGAAAATGTGTGAAAATATTTGAATAATGGTCTCAACAATAATGGTCATTAATATGTCTATACTTTGAATAGATAGTGAGTGTCATATAAGGGACGACATGTCTCATACACATGTCATTGAACGTCGAGCCCTCTCCAGAGACACAACACTATACAAAGTAGCGATTGTCAACCACTTCATTATGAATCATACGGAGCCTTACGACCCCCGCACACACCCATCGCCAGTCACTACAGAGATATCAGAGCCGTCACAACCATCGCGTGGGTCACCAGTCGTGCCATTCATATACGATGAGTGTGTGGAGAATGTATACAGTACTCATGTCTGGAGGCACACCCACCAAGAGTTAACTCACGTTAGGGAAGAGTTAATGGCTTTGAAGGCATCGAAAGACACGGAAGTGAAGGCATTGAGGGCTGATGTCATGGATTTAAAGGCGAGGTTTGTCTCATGTTTTGTATTGAGTGTAACTGTTGTCTGAAATTTGCCTCAATTTCTCGTTTATGTATACAATTGCCATCAAATAGTTTGGATCAGGTTTTGAACGAAACCACAAAACGAGATAATAATAGCATTTTTGGACAAATAAGGGAAGCTTTCCGCAGAGAGTCGGCTCACTCGAGGTTTGAATGATTGAAAACTATTACAAATAATGATTGAATAATATTGTGTTGTATTCATAGATTGAACGAAGAGTTGCTGCAAAAGTTGACACAAGTGTTGAAAGAAAACAATGATTTGAGGGAAGAGTTGTCGGCTGTGAAGGCATCGAAAGGTGTGATTGGGATGGAGGTGTAGTTGAAAACTAAAACTTATAATTTAACTGTTTGTGCCTTCAATCCCAAACATGTTTTGCGTTTAAATGAATGATATATTGTATGATACGATTAGTTCATAATGTGTACCATTTGTATGATTTTCATGAATCGCTATCTATATGTGACTTATTGTATAAGTTCTTTATATATTTAAATGATTTCCAATAGGTTTTTAATGTATCTCACATATGCTAACAAATTATGCCATGTTTTTAATACCGTACAACGAAATGCCGTTAAAGTCCATAATTAACATTTTAGACCAAATATGTGTAAACATAAAACACAAATAATTAGTACAATATATGAGGACTTTTTGTCCACTTAATCTGATTGATTGAATAAATATTTTAAAAATTATTTTTTGCTTAAATTATTTTAAATTTAAATTAGGTTTATTTGTATGAAAATGATATCAAATATGCCAATCATCGATAGCAACATCGAAAAGCAATTCAATTAAATGCAAAGTATTAACAAACAGTGAATGCATTGGAAACAAGCACTTCAAGGGTATTCATAGCAATATATTTGCCATCAAATTAAATACAAATATAACAATAATCTCATGATATTTAACAAATACAAAAGCATAATGTATTGTCATTTGAAGTCTGCGATCATTTTTAGTTAGCATTGCATTGCGCTGACATTTTACACACGCATCCAATTGTATGCCTATTAATTGGGTTTACGTCACGTTATTGTATACTAATATCTGTTTAATCACTTTCTAAGTACCTGTGCTTCTGTACGCTCTCCACACTATAATCTCCGACCACTTAACACCTGTTACTTCACACCGGCATCTGAACGATATATAAGCGCCGGTAGTTTTGTTGCAAAAGTCATAATCACAACCATTGGTGTTAAGGCTTCAACAGTGTTTGAACATAACATCACAATTAAGTTATTTCTTAAACATTCACTAAGTTTTCAATCGTTTTTATACTACTTTTTGTATTAAAACTTGAATTCTGAATATATTTCTAGAAATTATTTCTAATTTTCAATTAATTTGTGTCAAAATACTATTGAAAGTGAATAATAATGTCGAGTAAAGTGAGACAAAACTTTCATCAGGACTCTGAGGCCGGGATTAATAAACAGATTAATCTGGAACTACACGCCAGCTATGTATACGAACAACTGGTATGACTTCCCCTCTCATTATGCACTTCATACAGAATATTCTGTAATACACAGAATCTGTATTAACTTCAACCTCTACTATAAGACTTACATTATATGAACAGCAGATTAATGTTTGCCACCCATAGGCCTGGTATTTCAATCGCGATGACGTAGCCCTTCAAGGCTTCAGCGACTTCTTTAAGGGAAGGGCTGATGAGGAGAGGGGTCACGCGAGGAAGTTCATGGAGTATCAGAACAAACGGGGCGGTCGTATCGTATTGCAGGACATCACCAAACCGGCCAAACAGGACGGGTGGACACCGTTGGAGGCCATCGAAGCCTCTCTACAGTTGGAGCGCACCGTCAATCAGGCGCTTCTGGACCTCCAGGGCATCGGCGCTAAGACTAACGATCCGGAGTTCACGGACTTCATTGAGAGTGAGTTCCTTCACGAACAGGTGGACGACATCAAGAAACTGGGAGATCACGTGACTAACTTGAAACGGGTGGGCACTGGTCTCGGGGAGTACCTCTTTGACAAACAGACCCTGTCCTAAGTATATCGTTAACTCGTATTCAGTATTCACTCGTTTTATAAAATAACAATTAATACAGTAATGAGTGAACAGAATGTATACACAAAAGAGTTTCATTTCAATTGTATTCATACTTATGATTGAGATTATGATAATAAACGGAAATTATTTTGAATTTAAACAAAATTGAATTTATCTATTAAAATAATTATCTAAACATTAATAGACTTATAAAAATATTAATTAAAAAATTCTTTATTTGAACAACATGTGTCTCTACAATATAACGGTCTGATTCATTTATACCACTATCGAAACTTTCTGAAATATATGATCTTGCTATACTCTAATGAAACATTTAAAAATAATTAAAAAGATTAAAAATTGGAATATAATATAATATTCAATTATAAAACGACAATATATAATTAAGTGTTAGCCAGTAAACTCGAAAATAATTGAAAAATTACAGTACCGTAATGTTTTTATTACTGTATGTAGAAAATTCAAGTGTAATGAAGAAAATTGTGGCAAAAGTTTTACATCAAAAGTGGTACTCAATGGACACAAAATCCTACATTCGGGTGAAAAGCCTTATGCGTGCGATTGGGTTTACTGTAATCAGGCTTTTACTCAATTTGCTAATTATTATACACATAAACGTATTGTACATTTAAATGATAAAAGATTTATATGTGATGTCAACTGTTGCGGCGAAAGATTTTCTCGTAATTCAGCTCTAATTGCACACAAACGGAAGCATTCGGGAAAATAATGACACGATTTCATGATTTAATTGTATTTACATATTGTCTTATGAATCAATAGAAAACCAAACATTCAATGGCCTCTACTTCAAGATAAAAAGTCCAAAGTTTTGGATTTGAATCCATTGAAAGTCAAACATGTATTTGACGATCCATTTGGCATATTTCTAATAAAACTATTACAAACATAAATTTTAAATTAAATTAGTTTTTTAGGGATAAGCAGGGAGGGAGAGAGAGAGATTACCCAATAAATTATAAGAATATTACACAGACTATAAGAAACACAAATATAAAAATTAAACTCAAATGTTTATATTAATTGATAATAATTTGTAATTTATAATTTTATATATCTGAATTGTGAAATCACAATTTTTAATACAATTTTTAGAAATCTCAAGTTTTATCAAGTAAATAGTATAAATATGCTTACTTAATATGAATACCCTAATCTATTCTAATAATTTATTTATCATATGTTTAATATTACGAAATTGTTCATATAATTATCTATAATTTTATCATTTAATAAACATTTTTAATCAGCTATATTTATTTCAATGTATGTTACAGTTTTACCGCAATTCGTTACTAATACTGTACAGTATATGAATTAGTGTTCAAAATATTTATTTTTAAAACAATATTCACTACAAAATACAAACTATGTAAACCTGTCTGATATTATTGAAATTTAGGTTAATTTAAAATTAATTTTAATTTGATTAAGTGTATTACAATTAATTTTACATTATTTTATGTATAAAAATTTAATCATATAATGAACATCAATACAATACTATTGGTGTATATTTTATTAATAATAATAAATATTAAAAGTACTAAAAGTGCTAAACATTTGCGACTCGTGTGGAGCGATGAGTTCAGTGACAAAGTACTCGACACTAATCGGTGGCAAATCGGCGACAATTGGGTGAACGGCAGATGCGATTGTATAACACTTTGCACTCAAATATAGCACTCATTTGTATTAAACACTTGTTTTCAATGAAACTTTAGCCCATTATCTGGAACTATACCGAAACCAAAGTATATTAAGCTGTGACTCGAGCGCCCCGAAGAACCTACAGCTCCGGGAGGGCTGTCTGGCCATTACGGCCACTCACGAGTCGGCAGA